AGTATGTCTAGATTTTTAAGATGGAAAACTGAACTTATCTGCGTTAAATCTTCCACAAATCCTATATTTAGACACAATTACACTAATGTTTATCACTTTATATCTGTAATTTCGAACTGAAACATAATTATTTAATATCAAATAGAGGAATAAATGTTTGCCCAATATGGCGGGTGGTTGTGTATAATCATGGCATCGTCCATGTTGTCTTTAGTTTATTAGAATTTTGGTGTTGCCTGCAGGTGTTATACAATTTGACAAATGTCAGGAATGAAATACCGACAGAGTCGAATGATTTACCTAGAATTTGTACCAGATCTATATCTTCTGTTTGAACAGTTGATAAAACCTTTTTAACCAATATCCATGCGTTATTTGTCTTAAAACATTGGTTATGGCATTGTAACTAAAATATGACAGCAGAAAGTTAGGTTATGGTGAAGTTGTATACCAACATATTTAGCATATGTACAGCCTTTAACAGTTACTAAACAACAGTTGTATAAGTGCTTCCGTTGGGAGCAATTTGTTGGCTAAAGTAGTAAATTTGCACAGCAAAAAAACAAGGCTCGGGTTTGTTTTATGAACGTTACCATGGATGCCACAAGACAACCATTTTTGACTAACCTGCAAATATGCCGTATAAAATAATATAAAAAATTTGTCCTATAAGGTGTTGTGTAACTATGCTATAAGAATATTTTAAACACCTCATTTTAGAGCAAATATGTTGCAGAAAGCAAATTTGCATTCCACACAACATTAAGCCAGCATTTTGGTGTTCAGGCAACAACAATAGAGAGCTTTTATGGCTGAACGGCTTATAGCACTACTTTGCTAGTTGGGCGTTTCTTACAGCTATGTTATTTTTTTATTCGATTGAAATCAAGTTAAGCTCAAGTAAAGTATTAGATAATATTCATAAGTAATATCACAAGGGCATCTAATTTTTTTCTGTGGTATTTGATAAGACATTGAGTAACAGGGTATTCAGCATACACACAGGTCACACAACATATTACATATTATACATGCATACATAATAAACATGTAGGTAATAATTTGAAAACTGAAAAACCAGAAATTTATTTAATCGCAGAATACTACAAACTTTTAGTTTAGTTGCTCTAAACTTGTAGTTCCCAAAAGCTCGTATTTCTTTACCTGTCAGAATTTCGTGAACTGTCTCGATATTGCCGTATGGGTCTTGACGATATTGTATGGTACACTTTTCTCAATCGCCAGGTCAATATTAGTCAAAGAATCACTTCCAAAGCGACTCGTTTTCACTACATAAGCTGACTAGCACTGTTTAAAAACAATATTATAAAATTTATTGACTATAAAATCAGAAAAATTGTTTGGCGCCGTTTTCTCGTGTCCCAGGAGACCATGATTACTTGTTATCAAAAATCAAATTGAAGCGAATAACCAAATGGAAATGGTATTTACTATTTTGGATTGGTACTTACCGATCCGTTCAAGCGGGTGTGGTTATCAGTTTGGTTATAAGATCCGTGACGTCATGAACCAGCTGTTATATGTCATAGTTATCACCGCAAATCTGTGGTATTTATCCAACTCAGGAGTAGTTTTATACAGTCAAAATCACAAAAGATGACGATTGCGTCATCATTTTAGTCTGTGGTAAAGACAAATGACAGCGATTTGTGGATGTTTTTAATGAAATTTCAAATACGTTAGACAGAGACAAACAGAATTTTATTGTCTAAACAAACTGTATTGCTCATTTTCATGTATCCGACAAAGATAGACGATGTTTTCATGCTACATGATCGATCATATGAAATATGAGTAGTTAGGTTATGTCAAAGCAGGTTAGGTTCTTTTCGAATAATACTTTGGTCTTTGGTGTTAATGTGCTAAGGTATATTGTACTCATAACTGTTTCTTCAAAACAAAAACTCCTAGTAAAATTATTATTAAGGTATCGCGTAAAACCATGAAATAAGATGGAAATAAAAATAATCAGTGAAATAATCTAACTTCGCAAAACCATAATATAAGATGATGACATCATGATTTTATCATCGACGTACGTCCATTGATTACTTCAGTACAATTTATGGTATGACGTAATAGTCATCTTTCGTGATTTTGACTGTATTTCGGGCTATTATTTGGAATGTAACAAATTAGAATTTTGCCGGGTATTGGATATTTTTGTTGTACCTACTCTAGCTTCATTTTTGGGAAACTTGATACAGACTGACTTCAGTTGTAGCATAAAGTAGAGCACCTTATTAGTAATACTCATTGCTGTTGTTCGGGACACTTTAAATCTAGTTCTTATGCTTAACAAAGTATCCTGTGTAGCCATATACCACAAGAATATTGAAATATGGCCAGATAAACTCACCGGATAATGTCCACGTGTATACGGTTTTGCTAACATCTTTTTTCATTTTTTTTCCTTACTGCTAAATAAATGTTTTCTTTGGCATGCGTAAGAGTTTAGAGAATTGAAAGTTATCGTAGCTAAAATAAGCGATGGTTCCATCAATAAAAAATTATTTTCTGAAACAAAAACATTTTTCCCATTAATATTATGAAAAGTTTCTTTTTCAAACTTTCCATACACTGTTGTAGACGAAAAAGCACCGATTATTAAGTGATAATAAAAATAATCAGAAATTATATACGCGCTTTTCTAAAATAAACAACTTGCAACAGAACCGCCGTTCAAACCAACGCGTTCAAGCAATTCGAGTAACTGACGTCATCAACCCGTGTGTCATCTTAAACCATATTATATCCGCGGTACATAACACAGAATTGTTGGTTATTCGCTTGGATTTGATTAGTATTGTAATTTTAGGTGACAGCTGTCAAGTGTTGGTGCGGGTAAGCTAGAGGAAACTGCTGACAGGTGCTGTCATACAATTTCTCTATCAAGAAACCATTTGTAATTTAGAATTGCGCGTTCGTAGAAATTAAGACAATGGAAATAGTCAATATAATGTCAAGTCAAGCAGATTTTATGTCAAGTCATGTTACTTGAAAATACAAGTGACCTTGATACTACTTGATAATTTTTGTAATATAGATACAAGTAAAATCCAAGTACACAACGAAAAGACTTTTATTTGTCACCAGTAACAGAGAAAACTAATATACATATTGAACAAAATAATCTGCTGATCGTCTAACAAATAACACAACAATAAAACTGTAAACTCAAATACAAAAAATAACATTCCTCATCAACTGATACAAAAATTTTATTTAGATTTAATTAAGACACATAATGATTTATCGCTTAATCTATTGCGGGGTTTCGTGATGGTTAATGCTGCTTTAGAAGATCTCCTTTCAATAGGAGCTGATGTTGCAGGTGTCGATAAAAAATCTCTTGCCATTAAAGCTAGATTTGGGAATACATTATCATGTCTTTTCCACCACTCACGAATGTTTTCGGATGAATTAGCTCGTGGGCTACTCGTATATTTATCTATTTCGTAACGCCAAGGCGCGTTATTTTGTAGACGCATCGGAGAAGTGTTAAACTGAAAATATTTGTATCCAAGTTGCCTTTATCATGGTTTTCATTTGTGGTTGAGGACGACTAGATCGGTGCAGTTTAACTTGAAATATTTTGTTCTGAATATATCTTCAAAACGCCTTGGGTCTAATGTTTTAATGCTTTGTCCCGTGCCGACTGGACGCTAATTATTCATTTTTCGTCAGTCTCATCCAGTTCTTCCTCAAGGTCGTATGCCCTCTCTTATAATTTGTCCAAAATAATAATAATTACCATCGGAAGTGTGCAATAGGTTTGACCTTCTAATGTGGTAGAAACGGTTTTAAAGTCTGTCAGATACTGACATACTCTCGCTAATAATGACCATTCATCTCCTTTTGGAGTTCCAGCGTGTATTTTAAAATTATTCCGCAAATTTTCCGAATTTTTCAGTTCCTTTGCGGCAGCATGGATCTTTTATATGCGCGAATTCACTTCTTTGATGATTTCTTCATCATCCTTTTCTCTTTTGTCGAATAACTTTCGGCGTCTCCACCTTCGAATTCGGAATGAAGTAACTTCATAAAATCTCTTGCGCCTAAATGTATGATGTGTGCAAAACACACAAAATGAGAGTTGCCAGGGTCGATAGTACAAATAATGTTTTTGAGTTCTTTTATGAATATTGTTGTTGAAGTTGCTAATTGTATTATCAGTGGTAATCCCTTGTACAAAATCTTCCAAGTCATAGAAATGACCTACGTCGGAAAATAATAAATTAACTGCAATGGAGACCCCAGTGTGCTGGCAATGCGCTGCAACAAAATCTAACACCGTGTCCTACGTAGGTACGTTTACGTGAGGGGGGAATGCGTTTACACGCACCATACCATAGCCCGAGCTACGGCGTGTGTGGGACTCCAGGTTGTCTTGAGGAGACCACCTAATACCCACTAAACCCTAAACCTCTGCGTGGCCCGACTCATCAGCGTCTCGGTAGGCCATGTGTTGTGCGTGACCTGCGGTCTGCTACAACGTCTCCTCATGTGTTTCAGTCTCTGGGAACGCCGGGTTGGTTCCCTTTACCTCGCACATTCTATCGATGTCGTTAAGCGATCATCGATAGAGGGTCTGCTAGGTTCTCTTGAAACTCTTGTTTTCGAAAAATCAAGAGTTTCAAGTCCTCTTACCTATATGTTGTTCCTGGTCCTGGTCCTGAAGGGTCCTGGTCCTGGTCCTGAAGGGTCCTGGTGGGTCCTGGTCGTGGCGGGTCCTGGTCCCGTACACTGCGATGTGACCGTGCGTTCAGTTTTATTTACTATGGCTTCAACTTCGGTACGTCGCATGTTGTTAATGGAAAACAGCGTAGTAACGTTAAACATATTTAAGAAACTAAACAAAAGGCGTAATAGAAAACACACCCATGTTATTTACAAAAACAGGGTGCTTTACGGCGAGTTCCATCATCTGTATTTGCAGTTGCCGTGAGGATGAATCAGCGTTTTATCAGTACACTAGGATGAAAATCAACACGTCCGATTACATAGTGGAAAAAATACGTAATGCCTGTTATCATTGCACAACAAACTTCCAGAATCCTATCTCAGTTGAAGAAAGAGTTGTGGTAACTTTACGGTAAGTAAACAAAAAAACGTATGTTACTAAAAAGTACTTTATTCAGCGAAACATAGTTGTAACCTCTGATTGGCTGGTGTCCTGTAGATAAGATGTGGTAAAAGCCGCAGGAGGAGGATTACTTGCACTTCCGGAAGATGATGCTGGATTGATGGCGTGAACAGAGAAAAGAGGAGATGTCGGCGAAGATATGTCTGAATAATGTGTAGATGAACTAGGAGGAATAGTTGAATAGAGTGTGTTATTTGAGGGACAACGGAAATCTGCGGTGTTATTTTGAAGTTCTTGTATTAGAATATCTTGGAACTTGCTGCGAACTTTTAATTGTTGTAACGGATTTAGTTTTTTAAATAGGGAAGTAAGGTACGTAAAAATAAGGAATTTTCATCCTCCTCCTGTTCAAGAAGATTGAGCTTATTGTTTTCGATCTCCAGCAACTTCACTTCTATATCATTGGCATTACGTGGCCTTTTGGTATTTCGATGGGATGGAATTTTGTTAGAAACAGAGCTCTGTGTTGCTGAAAAGTTAGTACTAGCCTGTGCTGTTGCTTCGACCACGTCCGCTTGTATCTCCACGTCCGCTTGTGTCTGAGCATAGTCAGACTGTAGCTCAATCTCATCGGCATCAGATTCATATTTATTTTGTTGAATTGTGACCTGCGAGTCTTGGACGTCATTTATATGGGGCACATTCCCTCAGTTTGTCTGGGAATAACAGTGTCTTTTAAAAACAATAGATTTTTGAAGTATTGCCATCTTCCCGAATATACGTATACAGCAGCATCTTCTTACGAGGCACCAGATTTACTTTTAGGGATTTTATTAAATTCTGTTAGGAACGGATCGCGTAAATAGCGCCATTTCTTTTCAACACACATTCATCATTAGATTATGCTAGACTCGGAGGATTGGCATGATTATTTGGACGTTAGCGTCCTCGGTTTTTTCTTCTCACTGTCACTTTCATGACATGGAATGTATTATATTTTTTTTGTTCTAGGTATTTAGTAACGGGAATCTCATTTCGGCAACTGACATTCACATTCCAAATATCGAAATCATCAGTTGCATGCATAGTTATGGAGGTTTGCAAAGCCATTTGGCAATCATTTTGTCAGGTACATATGCGTGTACCAACAATTGAAGATTTTGAGATCATTGCAAATGAATATTTTCAAAAAAGGAACTTTCCGAACTGTTTGGGTAGTGTTGATGGGAAACATAATCGCCTTAAGTGTCCAGATAACTCAGGCATCATGCACTATAACTATAAAGGCTTTTTTCAATAGTGCTAATGGCAATAGTCGATGCGACCGAAATGTAATGATAGATGTAGGCGCATACGGAAAAGATAGTGATGCTGGAGTATTTGCTAATTCCGCTATTCACCAAAATATTGTAAATGGATCTTTAGCTTTACCTAAGGATAAACAACTGCCTAATTTCGAACAGACGACTCCATTTGTATTTATAGGGCATGAGGCATTTCCTTTGAAGAAGTATTTAATGAGGCCATTTCCTGCAAGTAGAATTCAGACAGATGCAAATGCCTCATATTTTAATTACCAATTATCAAGAGGTAGAATGACTGTGAAATGTGCCTTTGGTATCAGCTCTGCCAAATTTAGGAATTTATTGAAATGTATTGAAACGAATGTTAACAATGCAGTTCATATTGTAAAAGCAATTTACCTTTTACATAATATTATAATAGACATGGTCCTACAACTTCTGCCAATAAAAAACAAAAAACAATAAAAAATCATCAATACTTACTTGAGATTCCCACGTTTCTTGCAGCACAACTCCATTCTTTATCTACAATCAGTCGATCTTTGTAATTTCGATTTCTTTTATTCCACAAAACGTCTTTTTGTTGTACTTCATCAATAAACGCCTCCATCGCAAGTCGTAAGTCGGACGATAACTGCGGGTAAAATCAAACCGTAAGAGAATGGAATGCAGTTTCCAGCTGCTGTCTATAAAATATGCAGTTATTCCGTAATACCCATTTATATTAAACGAAGACCAATCGTCGATTGTGAAAGAGATTTTTGAGTTTCATTGTTTTAAGATACTTTTAAGACCACACTATGATTTTCACAAACTTATCCATGCAAAAGGAATTCATTGCATTTCTGCCGTGTAGTTTTACGTGTGGGCTTAGCAACTTGAACATCTTTTCACTCATCGCATCTTCGAAAGAATTAAACCGAAGATATTTTTTTACTACATATTCTACGAGTAATAATTGTTGAAATGCATCTTGTTGAAAATTGGTGCCACTTGCCGAAAGTACCCTGAAATAAAATAAGTAGTATCAAAACTCTGATTGTTTCTAAGTTATTGAAGTGTAATTTGTCTTTTGTTTCTATTTCTACTTTGGAGTGAGCGCCATAAGGAACAATAATAATTATCGTACAATTATTGTACTATAACTATAATTTGTTTTACTAGTATTATACTCGTATTAGGGAAACCCTAATAGGGAATTTTTGTACAGTCTCGTTTATACGTAGGTACGTTTATTTTATAATGTGTTATTATTTTTCATTATTATGTATTATTTATTGGCGAGTTGCTCTTGGATTGATCATCATAAACGTAGCTTGTCCGTTGTCGTTGCTTGCCCAGGGTGGAAGTATGAACTAATAATCTAGTCAAGTTGTGTCTAAAAATGGCGTACACTCTGTACTCAATAAGGCATGACATTCTGTGGAAGGTGCCTATTTAGATTGCTTTGACATGAAAAAGATGTAGTGCTACTTATATATTGGAAAATTGGTAAATGGTACATTAGAAAACTGAAAAATTGAAAGTTTCCGAAATTTTAAAATTTCGAAATTTCCAAATTTGTAAATAACTAAACATGATCATTCTAGAAATGATGACATTGCGTAGAAAGTGCAGAGTCCGCCTACTTGACGCCATTTTTTCAACTCGATACCGATAAAAAGATGTTGAATTACTTTTCAAACAAAGTATCTATAAATCACATAACAGAATAGAAAGTAAGAAATACATGTATATTGTTCGATGCTCGAGAAACAAAAGTCTCCTAATAGGGCTCCCCTATTGTGTTATTGCTACAGCTGTGGGCAAATGACAAAAATTTGATAGCAAATCCAGAAATACCTGTTCATTGGTAGTACCACTGATCCAACTCAAAATGCAGCCATTTCTGGCATTTCCGCTTCCGAAAAGTGATGATATATCTGATTTTCCAAAATGTGCCTTGTAGGTTTGGGAGTGCTTGTAGATATTGGAGACGTCACAATTTTTCATTTTTAGAGTGTTTTTGTTGTATCTGCATAATGTGCACTTTGCTTGTTTGTCGTCTATGCAATATTCGGTTATCTTTTTCCTATCGTCCTTTTTGCGTTTACGCTGTGTGATATCTTGAACTTCAGGCGAACTTTTTTGCGGTAAATATTCTGACCCGCTATCTTCAAATACTCCTTCATGATTTTTTTTATATTGTCCATTATATAACATATAAAATAGTCAAAGATGTATGATTATATTTTGTTCTTGGAAGAAATACATATAAAATTAGTTATTGAGTTCTCTTTCTATTGAAGAAGTTTAATATTATTTTTTTACTTAAAAAATATGTGCCGGCGCTATACAGGGTGTCTGCAAGACAAGAGAAGCAATAATAAATGTATAAAGATCTATGAAATTGTTAATTAGAATGATATTTTACCTGTTCACATCAGGTTTTTTTTTTCAAGGGGATGGCTTCCACCAATTTGCAAAACTGCAACAAAATGCAACCAACTGGAGGAGAAATGATGATGGTTCTCTTCTGTTTCTATTGACTAAAATAGAGCAGATATTGAACGAACGTCATCAGGACACGCATTAAGGCACGTGGTCCGAAGGTATATAAAAAAGAACTTACCGCTGAGGGTCCAAATCCCATAAAAAAAATGGAAGACGTAGCCCCCAAACCAAAATGACTAAACTTAAGTTACACAAAAAAAGGTTGCTAGTCCATGAATTGGCGCTTGGGGCCTAATATCACAGAGTCCGGAAAATGACGAAACGACCTCTGCACCACGACCTCAACGGCAACAGAAAAGCGAATCACGCAGAACCGTAACGTTCTAGAAGAAGGTATTTTGAGTGGCCTTGAAGAAGATATGTTTTATAGGAAACCAACTAACGGAGAAAAACTGCAGAGTCTTTGCTGATCGACAGCACCATACTGAATCGCTGAGAAAGAAAGATATAATACGAGTGAAATTATACAATCAATAAACTATTAAATTTGCCAAAAGAAAATCATTGAAAAGGGTTTGGGCCTAGGAATCGGCACTCTATTATCAATGAAGAGAGACTCAAATTACGGATAAGTGATAAATAGTAAAAAAAAGTTTACCTGATTTTGGCACGTGACTCTCGAAACTGAAGATACTACAGACCAAAGTATGTGAATTGACCTAAACATACTTTTGTCCAAAAGATACAGGATGTCAAAGTTACCATTTTATTTTCTATTTTTCCTTATTGCTTGAGAAATATTTCAGATTTTGGCATAAAACTCGGTATAGGGAGGTTTCCTAGTATGAGAAACAAGAATCCGTTATTTTTTATGGCCAAACTTCTGGAGGGCGCCATTTACAGCACTATTTCGGGAAATAACTTATCATTACTTTTTCGTGCTACCCTGTATACAACAACTGACCGAAAATCTTATTTTCTCGTATTTCAACAACAAAGGCTTACAAAGGCTTACTTGTTAGAAGGGTCTAAAGCTAATAGTTTTCGAGATATTTGTTTTTAAAAGTTTCAATACATTTTGTAACATGATGATAAAACATTTTTATAACAATAATCAAGTTGCTTTGGATAATATCTGAGAAGCGTTGATATGGTTTCTCATGTTTGTCATAATATTGCTTTAAGCTTCATGGATAATTTTAAGTTGACAATAAGCTGTTAAACATCCTGGAGTATATCTACGTTTGAGGAATATTCTGATATGCATTTAATGTACGGATTGGCAAGATGAAATGCTTTAAAAGCACAAGATTGTACGCTGACAGAATTCCTAATAGACACCTGCCTAATTCAATGACTTTCCAACGAATCCATCAGCGGTTACGAGAAACTGGTAAGAAATGATTATAACCTTATTTTGAATAGTGAAAACCATTTGGATTTTAGGTAGTTGGGATTAGGAATGTAGCTCGAGAATTTAAAGTTTCCAAATGTGCAGTAAATACCATTTTTCAAGAGCCACTGCTCGATCCATACCACCTGCAAAAAGTGCATGGTTTAAGCGCGAATGATGACCCGCAAGGGTAGAATTTTGTACATGGCTCTCGAGGAAGTTTAACCAGGACAATGGTTTTACTTCATTAATATTATTTTCGGACGAAGCAGGATTTGGAAGGGATGGGCCTATTAACTCGCATAATCTTCAAATTTATGCAGAAGAAAATCCTCATGCAATAATGCAAACCCGCCACCAAGTACAATTTCAAATTAATTCATGGGCAGAAATAATTGGACAACGTTTAATAGGTCCCGTTGAGTTACCATTTTGAATAAATTGCCAAAGGTATTTTCAAATTCTTGTAGAACAATTATTTACCCACTCTGTTGGAAGATATTCCATTACAAATAGCAGCTAAATAGAGTTTATCCAGACCAGTGGATAGGCCGATCAGGGCCTGTTTCGTGGCCGGCTAGATCACCAGATTTATGTCCTATGGATTCCTTCTTCTGGGGTGATTTAAAACGACGCGTTTACAATACGCCCGTGGAGGATCTTCGACAAAGAATTTCCCACCATAGTCAGGAAATGAAAAATAATACCCAAAAGCCTTGGAGAGTGCAGCAATGATTAGTTCGTCGAGCTTGAGAGTTTGTTAGGCAAGGTGGTGCTCATTTTGAACAATTTTTGTAGTTATTATTTCCGTTTATTAGTTTTGTTGCCATCCTCATTTGTTATTATCAAAAACCATAGCAATGCTATTCAGATATTATCCAAAGTATCTTGATTATTATGTTATAATAAGGTTTCATCATCATGGTACAAATAATGCATTGGAACATTTAAAAACAAATATATCGAAAACTATTAGCTCTAGACACTTCTAACAAGTAAACATTTTTTGTTGTGGAAATACGAGA